CAGTAGGATATTGTGCTTTTGCATTGTTTTGCCGGTTTAAACATGCCAAAAAATGGTTTTCAGGCCCAATCAAACAAGACTACCAATCGAATCGTTAGTTAACCGGTTTGAACCGAACGAATCTGTCGGTACTACAAACAAAACACGTCAACTAAAATTCCATTTCAGTAGAAAAAGACAGTTGGCAGATATTTTCTTGAAAGAAGGAATTATATCATATGTAGGGAAACGAAGACAGCAAAAGTAAGGTAAAGAATCACATGGAAATTATTGGACACGTTAAACATTTTATTGGACCGACCACTTCGTATCGTCTCATGTTCCTTCCTATATTCCCAAGCCTCAAGAGTCAAGACTAGTCCACATGTGTAGAGACTCCTACCATTTTTATTCTATTGAAAAGAAAGTAAAATCAATCAAAGAGTACAACTCCATAATCAAGAAACGGGAGAGGAAGTGAGCGAGAAAGAGGAAGAAGAGTTATGTACTTGTTCAATATGAGATCTTCTTCATATTGTGTTATGTTACTGATCATGTGTCTTGAGCTTCTGAGTTTCTCGGCTGATGCGTACAAGAACTACACTGTGGGAGAGTCTACGGGATGGTTCGATATTCAGGAGAGACCCTCTGCAAATTATCAGAAATGGGCCGATTCCAAATCCTTTTCTTTGGGTGATTTCCTCAGTAAGATTCTTCTCTTCAACTCCTTTGCTGCATTATAGTTCTCACTTCTCACCATGCAAGTTTTAGTTCGGTTTTGGTTTTTTCAAGTTTTTTACATTCGAAATGAAGACATAATAGTTTGTGTTAGTGTCGTAGACGAATCACTACCCGGATTCAAACATGTGTAAGTACTTCTTGTTAGACAAAAAAAAAGTGTCTTGAATTTGGAAAACATATATAGTATAATCCGATGAAAATCAAATTGAGTAAATAAATTGGTTTGATAAAAGTGGTATGGTTTAGTGGTTGAAGGATTCACTCAACATGTCCTTATTCGGCCATCCGTAGATGCATTTTGTGGCAAAAAAAACTGAATTTCTATGGACATCCGGAAATTAGTTCGGTTTCGGCTTGCGATTCCCCGGTTAACAAAAAAAAATTGGTTTGATAAAATTCCGGTTTGTTCTATTAATCTAAGTGTGAAGAAATTTGTAAGAAACTAGACAAAAATTCGTCTTTCTGCGTCGTTTTAGTTTTTAATATAGAAAAGTTACAATAATTTGGCAAAATATATTGTTTGAACTTTGAATCGATTTTTGTTCTTGTCTCAACATAAACCTCTTTTAATCATATCATTAATGATGCAATGTTTTAAAAGACTTGCTGTTTTTTCAATGTAGTTTTTAACACAGATAGCAATCATTCGGTGGTGCAAACATATGATTTCAAAACGTATAAAGAATGTGATTACAACAATGGTGAAGACAATAGTACAATAGAGTGGTCAGCTGCAAATCCTTCAGCAACATCTCCAGTTCCGGTCTCAGTATCTGTTCCTCTTGTTAAAGAAGGTTCCAATTATTTCTTCTCAGGAAATTATGATGGTGAACAATGTGAATTTGGACAGCATTTTATGATAAATGTAACACATGGTCAGGGCTTACCACATGCTTTATCATCACCAGACGAAGATGATGAGACCGCCCCTGGACCGGGCCAATCATCTCAATCCGGTGATGATGAGGTTGCTCCCGACACCATCGTTCCCGCAAATTTCGACCATCCTAAAGATAT